AAAGTCTCTGCTTCGCGCCCCTGCTCCCTACCTCGCCCAGGCTCCTGCCCCACCACCTCGCGGGTCCTGCCCAGGCCTGGTTTCTGTCCTGCGCGTCGCAGATTCTCGCAAACCTGAAGCTGATCGCGTGGAGGACGGTCACACCGCCGGCGTGAGTTTCGCTGTTTTGTATTGTTCAGCGCCCCCAGGTCCTCAGGCTTCTGTCCCTGGGACCTAGGGTCCCCATAGATCTGGAAATTCTCGCCCATCTTCACCCAGAGCAAATTGAGACATCCCCGTGAGAGTCCGGCTCTTGCTCCAAAGTCGCCCTGAGGCTGGTCCCATCCACAGTCTTTTCTGCTGTAGGGCAATATATAATATTTTCTATCGGGTAGTTTTTTTTGTTTTGTTTTGTTTTGTGTTTGTTTGTTTTGCTCAAATCCATTTTCAGACTCCACTGCTTTTTTAAAGTCCTCACTCCGCGACGGATCTCCGCTTGGACGCCCCAACCTTGCCCTTGTCAGGTCCCTGGCCACAGCGCGCGGCCCCTGTCCCGGGAGGCTGCGTCCTTGTCTTGTCCTGGGATCTCGCAGATCCCACCTGTCAGGCAACCTCCTCCTCGTGCCAGGCCCTGCTGTTCCCAGGCCCTCCTCCGCAGTCACCGCTCTCTCCTGAACCCGCGTTGGGAGCTGCCCGGCCTGTCCTGTGACACGGGTGTTCTGCCTGCCTGGGTTCCAGCCCCGGGAAAATGCGCTCCTCCAGGATGCAGGTGTCTTACTCCAAAACCCTCCTGCGATTGTGTGGGCCAAAGGGATCAGGAGACAGAGAGAGGGACTGAGAGAGCAGTAGAAAACCTGAGACAGAAAAGCAGAATGTTAAAGACCCATAACAGATGGCAAAGTAGAGGATGGTGAAGGATTTGCGAAGAGACAGCAAAAGTGAAAATAAAAAAGATAAGAAAGCAGGAGGAGAAAAGCAACTGGAGAAATGTAGAGAAAAGCTAGATGTACAGAGAGAGGAAGGACAGCAAGGTAGGGAGAAGGGCAGCAAAGAGGGAGGCTCATCAGAGTGAGGGAGAGGAGGAGGCATTTGGAGCCAGGGCAGACAGAGCAGAGTGGTGCTGGTGGCAAAAAGAACAGAGTGAGAACCACAGCAGGGAGGACACCTGGGGATCTGGAGTTCTAGAGAGTGGGGATGAGGGTATAACAGGCAAGAGGGAATGTAACAGGGAGAGCAGAGGAGGCAGAGATGGGAGAAGAGGTGGAATATATGTGTTAAGTGTAAAGGGGAAGAATGGAGAGACTAATATGAGAGAAACACAGAATTGTTTATTTTAGTACACACCAGCCTGTGTGGATTCATATCCAAAAAGCTGAGTATTGAACAAAGACAGAGTGGGGTTTTTACAAGCGGCCCATAAACAATTAATTATACAGTGACAGGTCATGTAATTGACAGCATAACATATCTTGTGACCTTGCATAGCCGGTGACCTTGTAGCTGCATCAAAAGAAAAACACGAACTGGCTAAATACATTTGTAAAACATCATAATGCTTAAGAAACCTGGAAAAAGAGTAACAGCAAAAGAATCTTTCACTCTCTTTTTTTTCTCTCAACCTTGCTCTGGAATGTGGGGGTGTCTGAGCCCATCTGCTTAGACTTGGTTATTCGGACAGTGTTATCCTGTAACCATCCTTGACCTGAGCTTGATAGGCAGAGGAAAACTCGTTCTTTTCTTTTTATTTTTAATCCTTGCTCTACATATTATGGGCCTTTGCTTACTTTCTTGGAGTGAATAAATGCAGTACTTATTATTTGTAAATTTCTATCTCATATGTAGATACAAGATGATCAAAAGATTGGGGAAAAGAGCAGTAAGATGTTAAATAAGTTGGCAGGATGGAAGCAGAAGAGGTGGGAAGAGAAGGAATAGAGGGAAGAAGGGGATGTAAACAGCAGGAGAGGAGAGGGGTACAAACAAGAGCAGAATCCTGGGGAAAAATAAAACAGGAGCTAGAGAGAGAGGAAGTGGGAGAATGAGAGATATGTACAGAATTAGGGAAGGAAGCAAAGTAATGAAGAAAGAGAGGCTGGGTGCAGTGGTTCATGCCTGTAATCCCAGAACTCTTTAGAAGACTGAGGCAGGGGACGCTTGAGTCCAGGAGTTCTAGACCAGCCTGGACAACATAGTGAGACTCTTATCTCTGCCAAAAAAAAAAAACTTAATTTGAGAAGGATGGTGCGCACCTGTAATCCCAGCTACTCTAGAGACTGAGGGAGGAGAATCAGGAGCCCAGGAGGTCCCAGGCTGCAGGAGCCAAGACTCATGCCGCTGCACTGCAGCCTGATCAACAGAGTGAGACCTGTCTCCAAAAGAAAAGAAGGGGCGGGGACTTTGGGATCAGATGAGTGAGTTTATTGATAAGATTAGTTGTGACATGTTGACTTCTGTGTATATAATCTAATAACTTAAAACTTGTTTAAATTATTAAAATGAGATTGAGAATTTTAAAACTTCTATCTGTAAGACATGTACATTCTGTAAATCTTGGCATCAGAGGTGAGCTTCCACTTGGAATCCCTATTCAGCCAGAGGGCAGTGACTTACTGAGTTGTGAGTCACTTCCTTCCCCTTTCCCAGGTGGCGTAGGACGGGGCAGGAAGTGACAAAAATCACTTTCTGTTATTACAAAATACTTTTAATTAATTAATATTTTGAGACAGGGTCTGCCTCTACTACCCAGGCTGGAGTGCAGTGGCATGATCTCTCAACGGCAGCCTTGGCCTCCTGGGGTCAAGCGATCCTCCTACCTCAGCCTCCTGAGTAGTTGGGACCACAGGCATAGCCACCAAGTCCGGCTAGGTTTTTGTATTTCTAAAAACAAAAGAAAAACAAACAAAACAAAACGAATTTCACTATGTTTCCCAGGCTGGTCTGAAAATTCTGGGCTCAAAGGATCCTCCTGCTTTGGCCTCCCAAAGTACTGGGATTACAGGTTGAGGCACCAGGCCTGGCCTACATAGTATTTTTTTTTTTTTTTTTTTTTTGGAGACAGAGCTTACTTCCTGTTAAGCTCAGGCTGGAGGGCCGTTGCACCCCAGCTACTGCAACCTCTGCTTCCTGGGTTCAAGCGATCTCTGCCTTAGCCTCCTGACAGCTGGGATTACAGGCATGCACTATCACCGGCCAATTTTGTATTTTTGGTAGACAGGGTTTCTCTGCAGTTAGACAGGCTATTCAACTCCCTGATCTCAGGTGATCTGATCATTTGTTCCCTGAAAGTGCTGGATTACAGGTGAGCCACTGCACCCAACCCACAGTGAAGCATATTCTAAAAATGGACATCGCCGGGTGTGGCATCCTTTTCATGACCGTAATCCAGCACTTTGGGAGACTCAGGTGAGGGAATCATCTAAGGTCAGGAGTTCAAGAGCAGCCTGGCCAACATGGTAGAAATCCAGGTCTATGAAAATACAAACTTAGCTGGGCATGTAGGCATGCACCTATCGTTCCAGCTGCTCGGGAGGATGAGGTACAGACCGCTTGAACCTGGGAGGCAGAGGTTGTAGTGAGCCGAAATCATGCCACTGCACTGCAGCCTGCAGCAGAGTGAGTCTCCATCTGGAAAAGCAGACAAAAATAAAAATAAAAAAACAAAAAGGACATCAAAAAGTGCTTTTGTTCTCATGGTGTAATAGATTTCTTTTTTTTTTCTTTCTAGTTCTCATTGTTTAAATGTATAGATATATATATATTTTGCAGTTGAGTGTGAGAAAATCTTAGTTTTAAGAATATCTTTTTAATACATAATCACTTCTGAAAGATGTCTTTGTGGCATCCTATAACCAGCTCACATCATTCCTTTCTGTACATGTGTATATTTCAGTTATGTTCCCATTGACCTCAGAGTTGGTTAGCTTTTTTTTTAAAAACAATTTACGGTCACGGTGGCTCAAGCCTGTAATCCCAGCACTGTGGGGAGGCCGAGACGGCGGATCACGAGGTCAGGAGATCGAGACCATCCTGGCTAACACGGTGAAACCCCGTCTCTCTACTAAAAATGGCAAAACCAGCCGGGCGCAGGTGGCGGGCGCCTGTAGTCCCAGCTACTCGGGAGGCTTAGGCAGGAGAATGGCGTAAACCCGGGAGGCGGAGCTTGCAGCTGAGATCTGCCACTGCACTCCAGCCTGGGCGATACAGGCCAGGACTCACTCAAAAAAAAAAAAAAAAAAAAAACAAAAAAAAAACAATTCTAAAAAATAGTTTCGGTTTGAAATTAGTTGCATCTGGTTCAGATCGAGGTCTGCATGCTTTCTAGATTTTATTATTTATTGAAATTTTCTTGCAATTTCATACAGAAGTTTTGATTGCTTGAAAAGTGTACCGTAAAGATGTCAGACTCTTACTCAACATGAAAATGTAGTTTAACCAGTTAGTCTATTTTGCCTCTTGCGTCATTGTTAAAATTTTTGAGTTGTAGTTATTGGCGCATGTTTCCTCAAGGACATCTAGTGCATTTGGACAATGTTGGACAGATGGGTCAGACTACATGAATGCTGTTCCAGAAGCACTTCCCAGTATTTTTTTTTTTTTTGACAGTTTCACTTTGTTCCCAGGCTGAAGTGCAATGCTGCCATCTCAGCTTGCTGCAACTTTGCCTCCGGTCAAGGATTCTCCTGCTTCAGCTTCCCGAGTAGCCAAGTGACATAAATTGCCTGCCACCATGCCTGGCTCATTTCTTTGTATTTTTAGTAGAACGAGGTTTCACCATGTTTGACAGGCTGGTGTCAAAATCCTGACCTCAGGTGATCCACCCACCTCGACCTCCCAAAGTGCTGGGATTAAGCAGGCATGAGCCACCGTGCCTGATCACCCACATATTCTTGATTAAAACAATTTGCTTATGTCTTAGTTCTACAGCTGACCTTCTTTCACTGTTTTCAAGGTCAATAGTCATATGTTCACACTTGCATTTTATGGATGTTACTGTGATTTTGGCGAAGACCAAATGTTGGGAATCAGTGGCATCAGAACCTTAAAAGAAGTTTCTTTGGCCCAGGTATGTGAAAGATGTTTCAATTTTCAAGGACAGGGTGCAAAGACCAACCCTCCCAATAGCCCCTTCCAAGCCCCATGTACACTAGACATATTTACTTATTCCTAGACTTCTCAGGTAACTGGTGAATATGTCCCTGCTCTGAGCCCAGTGAGCCTCCTGCAACTTGGCGATGACGGCTAGACCAGAAAAGCTCAACCTGAAACATGCCTGACCCCTGAAATGATTGGCAAATGGAGGCGTGTCTGGGTGTGGCTTTTCATCTGGGAGAGGGAGTTCCCAGTTGTAACTAGAATTTTGTAGCCGGGATGGTACCCTAAAAATGAAGAAAAGCAGAAGACTGTAAGAAACAGAAGTAGACTCAGACACAGAGACCATCTTTCGCACGGGCCTTTGTCTGTATGAGGATATCATGAAGCAAATCTAAAGCAGGTCGTGTCAGGTCCCTGGCAGGGAACCCTCCACCGCTCTCCCGTGTTCCCCAGGACAAAGCCCTCCAACTCACTGTGGCTCCACAGCCCTGTGTCCAGGGCTCCTGCCAGTGTCCAGCTCTTTCTCCTGGGAGCTTGCCCTCTCCCGACTCCTCTGCTCCTGGTCACAGTTGTTGTTTTTTTTCTCAAACACCAAAGCCTTTTCTATCTCAGGTCATTGTCCCTGCTCTTACCCTATGTCCCTAAATGATCACAGCACTGTCCCTTTTTCCTCCTTCAGGTCTAGGGCTCAGAGCCATCTGTCAGGCCCTCCCACCGCCATCTCCAAGTCTCTCTGCCCGTCATTCTCTATTACGCTACTCAGGCTTTATTATCTCTGCATGACTCATATCAGAAGTGCTTTTTTTTTAAGACAGACTCTCACTTTATTGTCTAAACTGTGGAGTGCAGTCTCGTGATCTTGGCTCATTGCAACCTCTGCCTCTCTAGCTTCAAGTGATCCTTGTACCTCAGCCTCCCAAGTAACTGGGATTACAGGTGTGTGTCACCACACCCGGTTAATTTTTGTATTTGTATTTGTATTTTACTATATTTTATTTTTGAGTCTTACTCTGTCGCCCAGGCTGGAGTGTAGTGGTGCGATCTTGGCTCGCTACAACCTCCACCACCCGAGTTCAAGCAATTCTCCTGCCTCAGACTCCTGAGAAATAGGATTTCAGACGCCCACCAAGCCAGGCTACTTTTTTATGTTTTTAGTAGAGACGGGTTCTCACGATGTTGGCCAGGCTGGCTCTGAACTCCTGACCTCAAGTGATCCACCAGCCTCAGCCTCCCAGAGTGCTAGGATTTGCAGGCATGAGCTCCCGCACCAGCAATTTTTGTATTTTTAGTAGAGATGGGGTTTCACCATATTTGCCTGGATAATCTCAAACTCTGACCTCAGGTGATCCACCTGCCTCGGTCTCCAGTGTGCTGGGAATTACAGATGGGAGTCACTGTGCCCGCCTACAGAAACAGCCTTCTGTGTGGATTACTTTATGTGTTGGGTCTCCTCTTGAAGCTGATACACATTTCCCATCTTGGCTTACAGGACAACTGCAGCATTCTACTCTAGGGCTGTGGCTTAGATGCTGAGGTGTCCTCAGGAAGACTGAGGGCTGGGCAAGTGGGATGGTCCCACATTTCGTCTGGAAATTTCCACTCTAATTGATCTGAACTTCCTGTGGCTATTTATCAGTCAAAATAAGAGGAGAAGGCCCCCACTGAGGTCAGAAAAGCCCTACAGACCAGACCCTGTGTCCTCGGCCAGTCCCAAGGCATTCTATTTTTGCTGCCTGCTACCGGGCCACTCCAGCGCTCCCGGGTCTTCCGCGTGTTTGCACATTACTAGGGCCCAGTTTGGCCATCATGGGCAGGGGCTTTGCCACCAGCAGGTGATGTGCTTAGAGTCAGGGTCCTGGTTCCTTCAGGAAGAGTGGGAGAAGATCAGGGTCCTGAAGGGCATGAAGGAGACACTACACAACTTGTTCTGTTCTGGAGGAGCTGGAGGTTCCATGGCTTCAGGAAAGATTCTTCCAAGAATCAGAGTGTAAACAGCACAGTGCAATTGTAGCCTGAGGGCCACCTCTCCCTGCCAGGACAGTGGCGATGACTCACTGGCTTTTCCTTGCCTGTCACAGCACGTGAGCATACACACACACACAGAGTGTCACACACACACACACACACACACACACACACACACACACACACACAGTCCAAGGCAGCCGAGAGTCGAGGGTCAAGCTAAGATGCGGCAATGTAAATATTGACTGGGCGTGGTGCTCACTCTGCTTATCCTCAGTTACTTGGGAGGCCAAAGATTCACCCCAGTCAGCCTCCCAAATAGCTGGGACCACAGATGCACACTCACTATACCTGGCTATTTTTTGTACTTTTCTTAGAGACGGGGTTTCACTGTGTTGCCCAGGTTGGTCTCAAACTCCTGGGCTCATGTATGATTCTACCCACGCCAATCCTCCCAAAGTGCTGGGATTTGTGTGAGCCACCACACCCAGCCTATCCTGCAAATTCCCAGAGAAAAGCCAATGCCAGTCTGTTGACCTTCGAGGCCATCACACAGAATGAGCCACACCTCCTTCCCACTCAACTCAGAGCTTATACCTTTGGGTGAAACTGCCCCTCTGCTCTGAACCCTCAGTGGGTGCAGCACCTGTAATATATGGGTGACAAATAAGACCAGAAAAGCTCAGTCAGGAGTGACATCATTCCAAATGATTGACCAAATAGTTTGTGGCTTTATGGGAGAGGGTAATGCTTCAGGGTGTAATGTGAATTCCTAATAAATTACTGTTCTCCCAAAAATGTAAAACACAAGTACCAGAATGGAAAACAGGGAATTAGACTCTAAATCATCTTGAACCCTCTCTCCTTGTCTCTGTCCACACCTACTGCCCTTCCATACTATGTCATTTCACAACTTTAACTCCACCTACACAACTCCATATCCTGCAGGCCTCTCCTTGAGCTCTACAACTTGTGTCCCGTTGTCTCAGCTCTCTGCTGGGACATCAAACAGGCGTCTCCACATTCACATTTCCGTAGGTGATTTCAAACTCCTCAAAACACATTCCCCTGCAGTCCTATATGTTCCAGATGAGGTGACTGTGTACTCTCTGTGGGACTTAGCCAAACTTGACAGCATGTATTTTAAATATGGGAAATGAATTCCATTATTTGTAAATGTTGTAATTTATAACGTAAAGAGAAAGTGTGTGTATACATGAAAGGAGTGAGAAAATACATCATTTCCAAAATTCTTTTTGAAGTGTGGGAGAAAAAATATTTCAAGACCTCATCCCTATGGATCTGTGCCTCCCAGGACCTCCTGACCTCATCTCCTGTTGTGTCCTCCTGGCTCCCTCTGCTCCAGCCACACAGGTTTCTTTTATTTTTCTGGGGCTGAGGTTGCTCCTGTCTCAGGGCCTTCACCTGGGCTGTCCTCTGCTCTAGACTCTCTGTCCCATCAGCTGCAAGTGACAAACAGCCTTTCTTCCCTAAGTCTTTGTTCTGACATCACTTTCTCTGTGGAAACCTTTGTGATGTCCCACAGCCCCCATTTGACATTGCAGCCCCACCTTCACCCCCACCTCTGGTCCATGTTGCCTGTTCTGTGTAATTTTTGTTGCTCCTTTTACTGTTCACTGGATCCTGGTGGGAAATAAGTCACCAAGGGAGTATAGAGCCAGAAGGTGGGGCTGTGCTGGGCTGGTGCCCTCTGAGTGGAACTCAACCCTGACTTTACATTGGGGTTCTCAGGCATTCTGCAAATACATCTTTTATGCTGTTCTGTCAAAGATTGCTATTATCATAGGATGGGACCCAATTTCTCAATAATACTTACAATGGCACTGGTAAGTCTTATCTGTGTCTAGTATTGAACGTCAGGGCACTTTCCTCCATGTTGAGAGCTGAGATCAGCCTGTGATCCACAGGAGGTGAGGGGGAGGCGGTGTTTACTCCCTGTAATCCCAGCTCTTCGGGAGGCCAGGTGGGTGGATCTCGAGGTCAGGAGACTGAGACTATCCTGGCCAACACAAAAATTAGCTGTGTGTGGTGGCACATGGCTGGAATCCCAGCTAGTCAGGACACTGAGGCATGAGAATCCCTTGAACTGGGGAGGCAGAGATTGCAGATGAGATCATGTCACTGAACCTCATCATGGTGACAGAGTTGACTTCCATCTCAAAAAAAAATTAAATATCATATTTTTTTTCTCACACAGGATTAATTTCCAAAGACTCAAGTTACATGAGGAAGCCACCAAGAAGAGCAACAAAAAGTGATCCAGGGATGGCTCTTCCTCAGGTGAGTGATATTCTCGGTGGATTCTGCTGTCTTTTCCTTTCTGAAGTGCCAGGTATTGTAGTAGCTAGTCTTCTGAGTCTGAAGCGTCTCTCACATGTTTAATAGCATCACCCAAGACTTTTCTCAGTCCTCTCATCTTAAATTCGCCTCCCTTGTTGCCCAGGCTGGAGTTCACCGGAGCACTCTGGGCTCACTGTAAACTCCACCTCCCAGGTTCAAGAGATTCTCAGGCCTCAGCCTCCCAAGTAGCTGGGATTATAGGTGTCCACCACCACATTGGGCTAATTTTGTATTTTTAATAGAGACAGGATTTCACCATACTGTCCAGGCTGGCCTCAAACTCCTGACTTCACATAATCTCCTTGACAGTTTTTCACAGTTACCAAGAATAACACACTGGCTGCCTGTGGGCATGGTGACTTCACTGCAGATATCTGGAGGTTTCCTTGCTAAGTTGGGGTGGGTATTGAAAAAGCTGATTGCAGGCCGGGCGCGGTGGCTCACGCCTGTAATCCCAGCTTTTTGGGAGGCCAAGGCAGGTGGATCACGAGGTCAGGAGATCGAGACCACCCTGGCTAACACGGTGAAACCTGTCTCCCATTAAAATACAAAAATTAGCCGGGCGTGGTGGTGGGCGCCTGTCATCCCAGCTTCTTGGGAGGCTGAGGCAGGAGAATGGTGTGAAACCTAGGAACCAGAGCTTGCAGTGAGCCACAAGATTGCGCCACCGCACTTAGCTGGGCGACAGAGCAAGACTCTGTCTCAAAAAAAAAAAAAAAAAGAAAAGCCGATTGCTTCTTCTTGGAGTTGCTATTTCTTTTAGATGTGGGAAAGATTCCATCCCTACCCCCAGCTGCAGAGGTGGGTTTCCTCTGACTAAGAACATGGAAATTTCCCACACATTAAACAAAGCTTACTACTGTGGTCTTATCACCATGATTCTTACTATCATGGTCTTGGCTCACCACAATTCTCCTGCCTCAGCCTCCCGAGTAGCTGGGATTACAGGTGTGCACCACCACACCTGGCTGATTGTTGTATTTTCAGTAGAGATGAAATTTCACCATGTTGGCCAGGCCGGTCTTGAACTCCTGACCTCAGGTGATTCCCACACCTGGGCCTCCCAAAGTGCTGGAATTACAGGTGTGAGCCACAACCTGGCATGAGACTTTCATAATGTAGGATGGTGTCTCATGGTGTCCTGTTAGTCTGTTTAGACTCCTTCATTTTTTCTTTTTATCTTGTTGTTGTTGTTTCTTTTCCTATTCACTACTTTTTTTTTTTTTTTTTTTTGAGATGGAGTTTCACTCTGGTTGCTGAGGATGGAGGCAGTGGCACGAACTCGGCTCATTGCAACCTCCGCTTTCACAGTTAAAGCAATTCTCCTGCCTTAGCCTTTCAAATAGCTGGGATTACAGACATGTACCACCATGGCCAGCTAATTTGTATTTTAGTAGAGACAGGCTTGAGCTACTGACCTCAGGTGATCCGCCTGCCTCAGCCTCCCAAAGTGCTGGGATTACAGGCATGAGCCACCAAGCCTGGCCTTTCTCCCTTTTTTTTTTTTTTCTTTTTTGAGACAGAGTTTTGCCTCTCTTGTTGCCTATGGGCTGGAGTGCAATGATGCAATCTCGGCTCACCGCAAACTCCACCTCCCTGGTTCAAATGATTCTCCTGCCTTAGCCTCCCAAGTAACTGGGATTACAGGAGAGCACCACCACACCCAGCTAATTTTGTATTTGTAGTAGAGATGGGTTTTCTTCCATGTTATCAGGCTGGACTTGAATTCCTGACTCCCGGTGATCTGCCTGCCTCAGTGTCCCAAAGTGCTAGGATTACAGGCATGAGTCACCACACCTGGCCCACGCCTGGCCTTTTTTAAAAAATTATTTTATTATTTTCTTTTGAGACAGTCTCACTCTGTCATCCAGGCTGGAGTGCAGTGGGAAGCCCACCACTACACCTTGCTAATCTTTGTATTTTTAGGAGAGACAAAGTTTTATCATATTGGCCAGGCTGGTCTCCGAATCCTCCTAACCTCTCATGTGATCCACTCCACCTCTAGCTCTCCCAAAGTCCTGGTGTGAGTCACCTCACCCATCCCCTCTTCACTAATTTTTAATTTACATAATGAATTCTGATTTGGATCCCATGTATTGAATTTTTCCGTTTAGTTACTGTATTTTTAGCCCGAGCTTCTGTGTAGTTCTTCATAATTTCTGTATGTTAAGGACGTTCATTTTCTTTATGCATTGCTTTCATGATTTCTTGAAGCTGTCTCTTAACTCAGTGAGCTTCATACTTTTGGGGGGTGGGGGGTGACAGGGGAACTGATCAGGTCCCCAGGCCGGAGTGCAGTGGTGCACCTTGGTCTGCCTAACCTCTGCTCTCAGGCTCAAGCAATCCTCCCATCTCCAGCCTGGTGAGTAGCCATGGATGTGTCCTCCAGGTTTTTCCTCATAATGTCTGGAATTGAAGTTAATTTAAGTGTGTGTAGATGTGATTTTAAATGTGTCCTGGAGAGCATTAATGGAGAAGTCCATGATTTTTTTGAGACAGAGTCTCTCTCTGTCGATAGGCTGGTGTGAAGTGGCACTATCTCAGCTCACTGCGACCTCAGCCTCCGGAGTTCAAGTGATTCTCCTGCCTCAGCCTCCTGAGTAGCTGATTATAGGTGCATGCCACCACACCAAGCTAATTTTTGTATTTTTAATAGAGTTGGTGTTTCAGCATGGTGGCTCAGATGGTCTTAATCTCTTGACCTCGCATCCACACGCCTCAGCCTCCAGAAGTGTTGGGATTGTAGGTGTGAACCACTATGCCCAGCCAAGCCCATGGTTTTGTAGAAATACATTATTTGCAGTATATATACATATATTTTTATTTTGAGAAAGACTCACTCTGTTGCCCTGGCTGCAGTGCAGTGCTGTGATCTCAGCTTACTGTAACCTCTGCCTCCAGAGTTCAAGCAATTTCACCCCAGCTTTCCCAAATAGCTGGGATTACAGGTGCCTTTCCCACCATGCCCAGCTAATTTTTCTATTTTTAGTATTATAGGTTTCATCATGTTGCCCAGGTTGGTCTCAAACTCCTGACCTTAAGTGATCCACTCACCTTGATATCCCAAAGTGACAGGGTTACAGGTGTGGAGCCCTCATGCCTAGCCACATATATATATATATTTTTTTTGTTTGTTTGTTTGTTTGTTTGAGATGGAGTCTCACTCTGCAGTCTAAGCTGAAGTGCAGTGCCATGTCTCAGCTCACTGCAACCTTCGCCTCTGGAGCTCAAGCGATTCTCCTGCCTCAGCCTCCCAAATAGCTAGACTAGAGGTGCACAACCACACCCAGTTAATTTTTTTGTATTTTTAGTAGAGACTTGGTTTCCTCACCATGTTGTTCTGGGTGGTTTGAACTCCTGAGCTCAAGTTGATCCACCCACCTCAGCCTCCCAAACTGCTGGAATTTCAGGTGTGAGCCACCGCACCCCGGACACACACACATACACACACACACACACACACACACATATATATATTTTTTTTTTTGAGACGGGTCTCGCTCTGTCTCCCAGACTGGGAGTGCAGTGGCTTGATCTCGGCCACTGCAAGCTCCGTCTCCCAGGTTCACGCCATTCTCCTGCCTCAGCCTCCCGAGTAGCTGGGACTACAGGTGCCTGCCACCACGCCTGGCTAATTTTTTGTATTTTTAGTAGAGACAGGGTTTCACTGAGTTAGCCAGGATCCCAGACATATGTTTTTTATATTTTCCATAAAACTGAGACTTCCACAGTGAGTTAGATTTTAAAATCTATAATGGGAAAGTACAATAAAACACAACTGTACAGAAAAAACTGTTCAAAAATACCTTAGCGTGGATTTGTCAGAACACAGTCTTGGATCAAATCAATGCTTATTTTCTCTTTTCTCATTTTGTGTGATGATGACGACTCTGTCCTCCCTAATGTTTTGTGGAAATGTGTGTTTCATTTTAGGGACGCGTGACTTTCAGGGATGTGGCTATAGAATTCTCATTGGCGGAGTGGAAATGCCTGAACCCTGCGCAGAGGGCTTTATACAGGGAAGTGATGTTAGAGAACTACAGGAACCTGGAGTCTGTGGGTGAGGAAAATGTGTCTCCACACGTGAGGAATCTGTCTTTGTCTATCCTGGCTCTCCCTGATTTTGTATTCTCTTTTGTGATTTTGTGATACGTGCTTTTGATGTACATGTCATTGTTTTCTGCAGTGATGACCCTCCTATCTGTCATGGATAGCTTCTTAGAGACTCTCCTATGGAGTAGTTTTACATAAAAACAGAACACTTATTAACACTCTGACTAATACAATTGAATATCATCCTGCTGTAGGCAGAGATGTCCCTGGAAGCCCTGAGCGGAATTGTCAGCATGGCCCAGGATACGAGATAGAAAGCATGACACTGACACTGACTGACAAGTGTTTCCAGCTGTGGTTCTGGTTTTGTTTTGTTTTGTTTTGTTTTGAGACAGAGTCTCCCTCTGTTGCTCAGGCTGTAGTGCACTGTTGTGATCTCAGCTCATGACAACCTCCACCTCCTGCATTCAAGCAATTCTCATACCTCCGCCTCCCAACCTAACTGGAATTACAGATGCAAGCCACGATACCTTGCGAATTTTTGTATTTTTGTTAGAGATGGGGTATCACCTTGTTGACCAGGCTGGTCTCAAATTTCTGGTCTCAAGCAATCCGCCCACCTCAGCCTCCAGCCAAGTGATGGGATTACAAACCTGAGCCACTATGCTTGGCCTTTCATTCTGGTTTTTAAGGAGCATCACAGAAGCATCTCTCCCTGGTACTGTGACAGTGATCATCACATAAACTAATGATCATCTTCTCTAAGCAGCAGTCACTGCTGTAGAAGCTCCTCCTAGGGAGGACATCATTCAGGCTCACTGTCTCATGTATATGAGGCTCTTGACTGAACTGTTTTTGTTTGACATGGAATTTTGCTCTTGTTGCCCAGGCTGGAGTGCAATGATGTGATCTCTGCTCACTACAACCTCTGCCTCCCAGGTTTAAGAAATTCTCCTGCTTCAGCCTCCTGAGTAGCTGGGATTACAGGCACCCACTACCATACCTGGCTAATTTTTGTATTTTTAGTAGAGAGAGGGTGTTCTTAAACTTTGAAGATCATATTTGGAAAGTTTAAAATAAGTATTGCTTTTTGTGTAATATTAACACATTTCAATATTAACCATTATTTACCATATGTACTTAATTGGAAACCTATTGGTTTTTATATTTTTTAGACAGCTCTTTTAAAACTGTGATGGAGTACTCATCAACAGGGCAAGGCAATACAGAAGTGTTACACACTGGGATGTTGGAAAGACATGAAAGTCATCACATTGGAGATTTTTGCTTCCCAGAAATCAAGAAAGATATTCATGACTTTGAGTTTCAGTGGCAAGAAATTAAAAGAAAAGTCCATGAAGCACCCATGACAAAAATCAAAAAGTTGACAGGTAGTACAGACCGACATAATCAAAGACATGCTGGAAACAAGCCTATTAAAGATCAGCTTGGATCAAGCTTTCATTCACATCTGCCTGAACTGCACATATTTCAGACTGTAGGGAAAATTGATAATCAAGTAGAGAAGTCTGTCAACAATGCTTCCTTGGTTTCAACATCCCAAAGAATTTCCAGTAGGCTTAAAACCCATATTTCTAATAGGTATGGGAAGAATTTTCTCCGTTCTTCATTATTCACACAAATACAGGAAGTACACATGAGAGAAAAACCTTTCCGATGTAATGAGTGTGGCAAAGCCTTTAATTATAGCTCACATTTAAGGAGACATCACATAACCCATTCAGGAGAGAAACAACATAAATGTGATGTATGTGGCAAAGTCTTTCATCAAAAGCAATACCTTGCATGGCACCATAGAGTCCATACTGGAGAAAAACCTTACAAGTGTAATGAGTGTTGCAAGACCTTCGGTCACAAGTCATCTCTTACACGCCATCATAGACTTCATACTGGAGAGAAACCTTACAAATGTAATGAGTGTGGTAAGACCTTCAGTCAGACATCATCCCTTGTAGGCCATCGTAGACGTCATACTGGAGAGAAACCTTACAAATGTGAAGAATGTGACAAAGTTTACAGCTGCAGATCACAACTTGAAACACATAGGCGAATTCATACAGGAGAGAAACCATACAAATGTAAGGTTTGTGACAAAGCTTTTAGGCATAATTCATGCCTTTCACGCCATAACAGAGTTCATACTGAAGAGAAACCTTACACATGCAATGAATGTGGCAAGGTTTTCCGGCGTGATTCATACCTTGCACAACATCAGAGAGTTCATACTGGAGAGAAACCTTACACATGTAATGAATGTGGTAAGGTTTTTAATCAAAAAGCACACCTTGCATGTCATTATCGACTTCATACTGGAGAGAAACCTTACAAGTGTCATGAGTGTGGCAAGACCTTCAGTCAGAAGTCATCCCTTGTAGGCCATCATAGACTTCATACTGGAGAGAAACCTTACAACTGTCATGAGTGTGGCAAGACCTTTGCTCGAAATTCATCCCTTGTAATTCATAAGGCAATTCATACTGGAGAGAAACCTTACAAGTGTAATGAATGTGGCAAGGCTTTTAATCAACAATCAAACCTTGCACAACATCAGAGAGTTCATACTGGAGAGAAACCTTACAAGTGTAATGAGTGCGGCAAGACCTTCAGTCATATGTCATCCTTTGTATGTCATCATAGACTTCATACTGGAGAAAAGCCTTATAAGTACAATGAGTGTGGCAAAGCCTTTAGTGGGCAGTCATCACTTACTCATCATCAAACAATCCACAGTATAGGCAAACTTTACAAATGTAATGATTCTCACAAAGTTCTCAGTAATGCTACTATCATTTGCAAATCATTAGAGAATTCATAATGAAGAGAGATCTTACAAGTGTAGTAAATGTGGCAGAGTTTTCAGACATCGTTCATAGCTTGTAGTTCATTGGCGAACTCATACTGGAGAGAAACCTTACAGATGTCATGATTGTGGCAAGGTGTTCAGTCAAGCTTCATCTTATGCAAAACAAGAGAATTCATACAGGAGAGAAACCTCACAACTGTGATAATTGTGGCAAAGTCTTTTTTTTTTTCTTTTTTTTCTTTTTGAGATGAAGTCTTACTCTGTCGCCCAGGCTGGAGTGCAGTGGTACAATCTCAGTTCACTGCAACCTCCGCCTCCCAGGTTCATACGATTCTCCTTCCTAGCCTCCCGAGAAGCTGGGACTGCAAGCATGCTCCACTAAGCCTGGCTAATTTTTGTTTTTAGTGGAGACAGGGTTTCACCATGTTGGCCTGGCTGCTCTCAACTCTTGACCTTGTGATCTGCCCACTTTGGCCTCCCAAAGTGCTGGGATTACAGGCATGAGCCACCGCGCCCAATGTGGCAAAGTCTTTACATTCACACCACATTAGACATCAGAGAACCTATACTGGACAGAAATCTTACAAATGTCATAGGTGAGGCAAGGTCTTTAGTCTGAGGTCTCTCCTTGCGGAACAGCAGAAAATTCATTTTTGAGATAATTGCAGTGGTGTGATCTTGGCTCACTGCAAGCTCGGCCTCCCGGGTTCATGCCATTCTCCAGCCTCAGCCTCCCAGGTAGCTGGAACTACGAGGCCCGCCACCACGCCCGGCTAATTTTTTGTATTTTTAGTAGAGACAGGGTTTCACCGTGTTAGCCAGGATGGTCTCGATCTTCTGACCTCGTGATCTGCCCGCCTCGGCTTCCTAAAGTGCTGGAATTAAAGGCACGAGCCACCGCGCCCAGCCATCAGTGTATTTCTTGAATGTATTTGATTGATGTCTAATGCCTCCCTAAAGAGTCTAAGAACAAGCTGTTCCCCATTACCTTGGACACATGTTCTCAGGACCTCCTGAGGGTTGTGTCACAGGCCATGGTCATTCATATTTAGCTCAGAATAAATCTCTAAAGATATTTTACAGAGTTTGACTCTTTTCCATGATAAGAATAACTCATTTTAAGTGCAGCATGAAATAACAAACGTAAGGAACACCTGGGCAGTTTATATGCACTGTTTAAATGTCAGTGCTTTATTTATTTATTTTTTTATTACTTTTTTTCTTGTTGACATGGAGGAGGGAGCTCTGGGGTAGAGGGTCTTACTTTATCACCCAGGTTGGCCTGGACCTCCGGGCTCCGCGATCCTCCTGCTGCTTCCTGAGAAGCTGGGACCCCAGACTCCCGCCACCCCGCCTGTATCCCTGCTGCGTTTAAGCAGCAGGTGGTGACCTCACTCCTCCCTGGCCTGAGCCCTCCCCTTTGCCTCCCATGGGGGTGGCCCTAGGGAAGTCTCGGGAGCTGAGCACAGGGTGGACTCTCCCACTCCAGTGAATGGAGAATTGAAAGGGAGAGGATTTCTATTCTGTCCTGTGGACCATCAGCATGAAGTTGTAGGTTTCGCTCAGGCAGGGCTTTGCATTTCGCATTCTACTTTGCATTCCTGCCCTAGACAGCTTCGAGGCTTTGGAATTAAATTGCTAAAATTAATTTCATTAGCAAGAAACTTTCCTGTGTCCAATTACTGCTCCACGTCGACTTCTCAGGGAGGTACTATTTCCCTCACTGCTGAGCTGCTCCAGCCTCACTGCTGGGTTTCACCTCCAAAACCCGGAAAACAGAGGCGCCGAGAGCGAGAGGGAGGGAAGCTCCCCCTCCTTCCCGCCCCCGCAGACCCCTCACAGTCCAGGACTCTTGTCCCTCGCGCCCCGCCCCGGCCTCGCTCAGGCCGAGTCCACCTCTTCGAGTCTGTTCCCGGCCTCACCGAGGCCCCGCCCACCTCCTGGGTGTCCCGCCCAGGCCTGGCTTCTGTCCTTTTCTGATTGGTACAGACCCGGAAGCAGATAGCGTGTACTGAAGGTTGCGCCGCGGTAGGTGCGCTTCCCAGTTCTCTGGTGCTGCTGTACCGGGGGCATGGGGTCCCCACAGACCTGGAAATTTCAGCCCCTCTTTCTCAACCCAGAGCAAATTGAGACATCCGGCTGAGAGTCCGTGAGTGGCTTCCTTTTGAGTTTAAAGTCGGCCTGACGCCAGTCCCGTCCCCGGTCTTTCTGCAGTGGGATTGTGCAGCCACCTCATGTCGCGAAACTTTCCTTCACAAAACACTTCCCGATCCGTCCTCCCACCTCGAGCTGTTTCAAGTCCTCACCCGCGAGCTGGATTCTCGCCCTGGGCGCCTCTTAGCCTCGCTGTTACGTCGGCCTCTGGAGCGCAGCGCCGCAGCCCCAGGCCCCTGGAGGCCGAGTCCTCTGCCTGATCCTGGGATCTTGCAGACCCCACCCCTGACCGAAGGCGCCGTCGCCCCCCACCTCCCTCCTCCTGCCGGGCCCAGCTTCTCCCCATTTCCAATCCCTGGAAAACATGCTGTTCTTGGAGGCAGCCCTCTTCTCCATCCTCTTATTCCATGAGGAAAGCACTCCAGAGCGGGGAGTGGGTCTGAGCGAGCATCTCCAGGGCCCCGTTTACAAAGTTTTGCGGGGTTAAAGTATTTCTTTTGAGGTCCCTATGGGCTATTCCTTATCTGGATGGAGGATTTGGCCTTTGGCCAGTGAAATGCTGAGGTGAATGGGCCCGAGGCCAGAGCAGCTGGGTGCCCTATGCAGATGAAGGTATGGCCGGCGCTTGAAACTTCCACCTCCTGGGTTCAAGCAATTCTTCTGCCTCAGCCTCCTGAGTAGCTGGAATTACAGGCATGTGACACCACAACCAACTAATTTTTGTATTTTTAGTAGAGATGGGGTTTCACCATCTGGGTCTGGCTAGTCTTGAACTCCTGACCTTGTGATCCACCCGCCTCAGCCTCCCAAAGTGCTGGGATTACAGACGTGCACTACCATGCCCAGCCTAATTATTATTAAATATATATTGTTATATTTAAACATCACATGATATATATATTTGTTTTGTGGTAACACTCCAAGCAAAGCTGCAGCTTAGGCCCTTGGCCATAAGGCATTTCCTTTCCCTGTCACGTCCTCCACCCTCCTTCCAACCTCACTGGGGAGCCGCTACCGTCAGTTCCGTGTTAGGTGTCAGAGCAAGCCTTGTACACATGTATTTCTGCATCGTTATGAGACTTCAGGAAAAATTCTGCAGTAAATTAAAATTTTTTTATATTTATTTTTTTACTTTAGGTTTGGGGCTACCTGTGAATGAATGCGGTTTGTTATACAGATTATTTCATCATTTAGATATTAAACGCAGTACCCAATAGTTATTTTTTATTTACTTATTTTTTTGAGACAGAGTTTGGCTCTTCTTGCCCAGGCTGGAGTATAATGGCATGATCTCTGCTCAGTGCAACCTCCGCCTCCTGGGTTCAAATGATTCTTCTGTCTCAGCCTTCTGAGTAGCTGGGATTACAGGTGTCCACCAGGACATGTGGCTAATTTTTTGCATTTTTAGTAGAGGCAGGGTTTCACCATGTTGGCCAGGCTGGTCTTGAAGTCCTGACCTCATGTGATCCACCTGCCTCGGCCTCTCAAAGTGCTGGGATTAGAGCAATGTATCCCCTTACCTAGCTGAATTTTAGTTTCTGATCTTTCACTGTGGCCCTTGTCATCTCTGAAAACATCACTTATGCTCTGTCTCATCTGGATACTGAATGTCACTTGGTGTGTCAATAAAATATTCTAACATTGCTTTTTTTGTTTTGTTTTCTTTTTGGAGACAGAGTCTTGCTCTGTTGCTCAGGTTGGAGTGCAGTGGCTTGAACTCACCCCACTACAACTTTTGCCTCCCGGTGTCAAGCAGTTCTCCTACCTTAGCCTTCCCAGTAGCTGGGACCACAGGCTCACATTGTTACACCTGGCCAATTTTTTTGTATCTTAGTAGAGATGGGGTTTCACCATGTTGTCCAGGCTGGTTTTGAACTCCTGAGCTCAGGCAATCTGCTTGCCTTGGTCTCGAACTGCTAGAATTACAGGTGTGAGCCACCATGACTGGCCACTACCATTTCCATAACGGGAACCCTGCATTGATTTTTTGTTTGTGTCTTTATTGTATTATCCACAAACATAAGAAATTCATACTGAGAGGGTATCATGACCTCTTTATAAAGTATAATCAAACACAACTGGGAAGACATCATGTGGTAAAAAGTCCCTTACTCGGATGTCAGAACATTCACTACAATTAAATCCATGCTTTCCCCTCTCTCCTCTTCTCATTTTCTGTAAAGATAAGAACTCTTCCCATAACCATTTGCTTAAAATGTGTTTTCATTTCAGGGTCTGTTGACATTCAGGGATGTGGCCATAGAATTCTCTCAGGAGGAGTGGAAATGCCTGGACCCTCCTCAGAGGACTTTATACAGAGATGTGATGTTGGAGAATTATAGGAACCTGGTCTCCCTGGGTGAGGATAACTTCCCTGCTGGGGATGTGCCCTTGCGTATCTTTGCCTTTTCTCTTTTTGCCTCTTGGGAGCCTCATCCTTGCTTGACTAAAATGGAAGCCGTATTGATTTTGAAATGAAAAGCTTCATGATGTAGCATCTGGACTTTCACTGTCCCCTTTGTTTAGATCTTCTGCTTTCTTCATGATAGCTCAGTGGGGCTTCCAGAAGTAAAGTAGGCTTAAAACCTTATGGCAGGTCAGGCATGGAGACCCACGCCTGTCATCACTCCCACTTCAAGAGGCCAAGGCTTCTGGATTACTTCAGGTCAGGAGTTCGAGAGAAGCCTGGTCAACATGGTGAAACCCCATCTGTATTAAAAATACAAACATTAGCCGGGTGTGGTAGCACACATTTGTAATACTAGCTACTAGAATGGCTAAGGAAGGTGAATCGCTTGAACCTAGAAGCAGATGGTTGCAGTGAGCCAAGACTGTGCCTCTGCACTCCAGCCCAGGGAACAGAGCAAGACTGTCTCAAAAAAAAAAAAAAGAAAAACAAAACCTTATGGCAGACTTTAAAGATATCCAGTTCTGCTTGGGTATGGTGGCTTACACCTGTAATCTCAGCATTTAGGGAGGCCAAGACAAGGGAATCACCTGAGGTCGGGAGTTCGAGACCAGCCTGACTAACATGGAGAAACCTCCTCTCTACTAAAAATACAAAATTAGCCAGGGGTGGCGCATGCCTGTAATCCCAGTCACTCAGGAGGCTGAGGCAGGAGAATCTCTTGAACTGGGGAGGTGGAGGTTAGATCACGCC